TGTCTCAATATTGGTTGGGCAGAATGTCAATTGTAAAATTTTATTTCATTTTTTTCATGACAGTATATCAGCTGTGAAAATTAGGGAATAAGTAAGACACATTTTATTAGGTATTATCCCCTTACAGTTTTCTATTTAAATTTCCCTTTTTAATGTAAATTTATATAATATTGAGGAAATTAATTTAAATAAAATATTATATAAATCCTGAGGAAATTATGATTAAATAAAATAAATAAATAAAAAAATTTGTCTTAAATATATATGTCATTATACACAACATATCTAATCTATCAATAATAATTCATTAGTTATTAAAAAAATTTGCAATGATTGGAGTCTGGGAACAAAAAATCCCTAAAATTTTGGCCACAACTGTCCCCAACATGAGAGCAACAAGTTAATAAAATATTTTTTTTTCTTACTCTCAACTAAATTTACATTCATCGATAAATTGTAAATTTCATACAATAATCGTTTAACATTCTAAAGTTATGACCAAATAAAATTTGTAATCCCCTCAAATTAGGAGAAATTTAAATTTTACATTGTCATAATTTTTAAATGCTAAGAGATAATAAAATAAAATTTAAAAATATTGGATGAATATAACATTGGTTGAGAATAGTAAAAATAATTCATCAACTTGTTGCTCTCACATTAGGGGCAATTGTGACCAAATTTTAAGGGTTTTTTTTTGTTCCCAGGGTCCAATCATTGCAATGTATACACACATATATATGTATATATATATGTGTGTATATATGTATATATGTATATATGTATATGTATATGTATATATATATATATATATATACATATATATATATATATATATATATATATATATATATATATATATATATATATATATATATATATATATATATATATATATATATATATATATATATATATATATATATATATATATATATATGTATATATATATGTATATATGTGTATATGTATATATGTATATATGTATATATGTATATATGTATATATGTATTCATGTATATATATATATATATATATATATATATATATATATATATATATATATATATATATATATATATTATATATATATAGTTTAAATATTTATATACATATACAGGCCTCAGTAGGAATAAATGAGCCCGAAAGCAGAGAAAAGCTCTCCTAAAATAAACACAGCGAGCAATGCAAGCTGCTCCTCTAAACAGCTTCTTACGAGAGCTTTTAGTTTTTGCACCAGTTATCTGTTTATTCTTTTGAAAATTTCTTATAAAATATAAAACTTGGTTTTATACTTGTTACAAGTTTATGTTTGTAACATTAATTAACATTACAAGACTATATACATAACAAGCGTCATTAATTGCACCATAAAAAAACTCTTTAGATAGCAATGTCTTTGGGTTTTAACACTAGCTATCTATCTAGCTAAGTACCCATTTATTTGTTAACAATATTATATATTTGATAAAAAATTTGACAAAGAGCTATAAAAGTTTCTACTGCTTATAAAAATTGTTTTATATTTTCTTATTGTAATAGAACTCAGGCATTTTAATAATCATTACAGCAATTAATAATTTCTTATTAAATAATGTTTAAAATATATAATTCGTTACATAAAACAAAAATTATTATGCAATAATAAAGTGAAATAATTTTATATTTTATCAGTTAAATAGTTTTATATTTTATCAATATAATTTAGAGGGTAATAATGTTATATTTATCAGTTAGTCCAATCTAATCAAAAAAATGTGCATTTCAATTAGCGCTCTTTTTTAATTATTTTTTATTGCAACAACAGTACCTTTTCAAAAGCATTGCAGTTTATTTTGCAATTATTTTTTTTTATGACTTAACTTATTTGTATTTTTTATTTTAGTTATATGTATATATATACATATATATATATATATATATATATATATATATATATATATATATATATATATATATATATATATATATATGCATATATGTATATATTATATATCTATAAAATGACTTAACTTATTTGTATCTTTTATCTTTTAAATGACTTAACTTATTTGTATTTTTTATTTTAGTTATATGTATATATATATACATATATATATATATATATATATATATATATACATATATATATATATATGCACATATGTATATATTATATATCTATATTTATATATATATATATATATATATATATATATATATATATATATATATATATATATATATATATATATATATATATATGTATATATGTATATATGTATATAGTATATATATATATATATATATATATATATATATATATATATATATATATATATATATATGTATAGTTTAAATATTTATATACATATACAGGCCTCAGCAGGAATAAATGAGCCCGAAAGCAGAGAAAAGCTCTCCTAAAATAAACACGGCGAGCTATGCAAGCTGCTCCTCTAAACAGCTGAGGGTTTGGTATGGGTCAGCAACCTTTTCATTCATTTTTTCTTCGTTTTCT